CTGGGGCGGCTGCGGGCGCTGGGGGCACGGCCGGGGCGGAATTGGTTTAAGTCAGGGAAAGTCGCAGGGGGTTTTTTTTTCGTCCCCCTGGTTTTTTCGCAGCCCCCAAGCCGCCGCCGCGCCCCGGTTGTGCGGGCCCTCCGGGCCCCCGCCCGCCTTCCGCGGGTGTTTCGGCGGGGACTGACCCCCCCTCGGCCGCCCCCCGTCCCCCCCGTGCCCGTTCCTGTTCCCGTGGGGGTGGGCTGGCAGCGGGGCACGGCACCGGCTCCTCTCCTCGGGCCTGCCGTCCCGGTGTAGCTGTTTTGGTGGGCAAGTCGCTCTTTTAAACAGTTTTCCGAGAATTTTTTCTATATTCCCGTTAATGACTACGTGGTGTTGGTGTTCTTCCAAAAGTCCGAGTCGTGAGTGGGCTAGGGAGAGAAGGGAAAGGCTTCGGAAAAACAGATGCTCCCTTCTTAAAAACTAAAATAAAGTTTTTCTTCTATCTGCTTCATGGCCCCCACAGTCACCGTTCAGGAAAACCGACGGGTTTTGTCCCACTCGAACCTGCTCCTGTGCAAGGGTTTCAGTCCCAGGTGTCTCCCTGAAGGCAAAGGGGACTCGGTGCTTCTGCAGTACCCGTGGAAGGAATCAACGTGTTTGGGTTTTACAACTTCTGAAAATTACTATGTTTTTTTTTTAAATGTTTGCGTCCATGCAGGACATGTTTATGTTAACCTTGGCCCTGCATTTAGTTTATATATTGGTAGTATTACTTTCTAGCCATTTATGGCCTCTTTGAGGCTTTTCGCTTAAAACCCACCGGTATATTCATTTTCTGGCTGTTTGGTAGCTTCAGAATTTAAATTAACGACATGCAATATTTTGTCAAATGACCTGTGGGCATGAATGCCAGCAGAAATGTCTGAACAGCTACAATGCGAATGTGTAAATGCTTCCGAAACTGGGCTCAGAAGAAAAAGCTGTGAATTGCCTTGCTCTGCTCCGCTCCAGTGGCCAGAGAAGCTGAACTTGGGCCCTCTCCAGATAAGAAGAGATGGAAAAGCAAACTGGGCATTTCTTTGTAACATCACGCACGTTTCTGTAGTGCAAAGAGGAAAGTTTAAATGTCTGTTGAATCCCAGGCTATCACTTCTGAAAGGTTTTTTTTGTTGTTGTTGTATTTTGGAATTGGTCATTTCTGTTGAGTACAGTTCTATAAAATCCTACTTGGAAATGCAGAACAACTGCCTTGTAAGAGTCATGGGGATCAGTTAATCTTCCCTAAACCTTTGATTTTTAGGGTCATGTTTAGGAGGTGACTGTGCTCTGGCATTTCTTCAGTTTTGAGGGAGACGTCTTTGGAAGTTTTTGCTTGATAAATGCTTTCATTTAAATGCTTCTGCAGGGCTGACAGGCGTAATCACCTACGGTGTGATCTCGGTAATTATGGATAGCAACAGGGCATCATTGTTAGAACTTGGTGCTAAATGAAACTGCTTTGATTAATTGTAAATCCGTAAGATTGTTCCAGTGTTTCGAGCTGAATTTTCATCTTTATCAGTTTAAGTGCCCACACAGGGGATCAGCTAAGGAAATTGAGTTGAGACTAATAGTTAACAATTTACCATACATCATGGATTTTTGGTCCAGTGATAAAAGGCTGGCAGGAAATGAGAAATTGATACCTCAAATAAGAGTAAACATGTGTTAAGTGTAGCTTTTACAAGATGGTTTGATAAATTATAAATTGGTTTAGGAAAAGCACAACCTGTACTGACATATTTCGGTTAGTTTGAAGCTGATAACACCTACACTTGAAATAAGTTTATACATCTGAAGGCAGATCCGTGGCTGATCTAAATTGTCATAGCACTGTTGACGTTAATTAGGTTCCAGCAATTTATGCCGATGGAGAGTATGTCTTAGGATCTGTAATAAACAGTGTTCTGTGTTGTTGGAATATGAGTCTGAGAAGGAGCTGGAATTAACTTTGAAGGTGTAAGTAGACTTTTGTTAGGGACATGGGATTTTAAGCAAACAAATTTCTTTCAAAGCTTAGTTTGTAGTTAGGTGGGAGATGACACATGCAAGTTACCTGATATGTTACTTTGCAGGAGATGTTAAAAGTTTTGGGTCTAAGTTATGTCCTCATTTTACAAAAGCGTTGTATGTTACGTCCTCATTCTGCAAAAGCTTTGTGCATAATTTCACTGATAGCTGTAACACTGCTCGCGTGTTGGAGTCAGCATGTGCAGCCTTGGACCCTGAAAAGCATGTAAGAAAAACTTTGTGCAGTGCTTTAAAGGTCTCTTGTCTATAAAGCAAGAAAGGATTTTGTTTTAGCTTAACTAAAAAGGTGCTTCTAAAGCCTAGTGATCAGAGGATCTGGCCCAGCAGCACAGTCCATGTTGTTTGCCAAGACGTGAAGCAAGCCAACGGTGACAGCCCCGCAGTACTGCTGCTCAAGTACTGCGTTTCCTAAATCAAAGGTTAGGATTAGAAATAAGTGTATTACTTTCTGTTGCAGATCCGTGTTTATATATTCCTCGTTTTGCACACATGCTTGAGTTTGGGGATAAGAACCACGAGGTGTCCATGACGGCTCTGAGGCTGTTGCAGAGAATGAAGCGGGACTGGATGCACACCGGCCGCCGGCCTTCGGGGCTCTGCGGAGCAGGTATGTCAGACACTGGGTGTACTGCTTCCCCCGCGGTGGGTTGGACGGGGGAGTCTGGGAGTTGGGAACAGATGAGGACTTTCTCATTTCCTGGGGGATGCCATGTTCTCTGGGTTTCGTGCTGTCAGGCACCTACAGATTATATAGGTCTTCACAGAAATAGTTTCTGAAACTCAAACTTCATTTTTGCCCTTGCTCCTACATTACTTGCTTAGATCCTTTGTATCTTACTTTTTGGATTTTTTAACCTCCTTTCTGGTGCTCTTCTCGCCCACACTCTCTGCAAGCTCTAGCTGCTAAAAGGTTTTTTTGTCAGCTAAAATGACACCATTAGTGCAAGCGCTTTGATTTGTGTCTTTACACAGTGTCTTATGCAAGAAATGCCCTCTTTGACCTGTTCTGTGAAATTATTTTCCTCTCCTTCTTCATCTTTTTCAAGATCCATTGCTGTCATGATGCTTACAAAAAACCTACCGGTTTGGGAGGGCTAGGTTGAAAGGTAGTCAGTACCAGCCAGTGAGGTCAGAGTAACGAAGAGCGTAGATAGTCACAGAGTTCATGTATGCGCTTTATTTTATTTAAAAGGTCTTACATGTGCATGCTGGAATGAGAAATAGCGCTCAAACCTTAGGGAACCCAGGCCTATGCAATCTTCTTGAAATTTCTAGCCTCTTTGTTAATAGTACTTGCTTATTGCACCTTCCTAAAAATTTGAGTACAGACTCTGGGAGACCAGCCTGGTCTTTGATTCACTACATAGACTATATCCATATGAGGAAGTAATTTGATTCAACAGACATGGATCAATAGATTGAAGCAGGTGGTGCTGAGTGCCCTACATCCATCTATGCAATACGCAGTTCATGTGGTGTACTGTGGACTGGGTTTAGTTTGGTTCCCTGGCCTAAATGTCTGTGTCACGCGTTGTTTGAAGGACCAGCTGTTAGTTCAACCCCTGATGTTCCCATTAGGAACTGGAGCACTTCAGACGTGCACCTGAAGTGGAGCTCTGGTTTGGTTTCCTCTGAAAGGAAGCACTTTTGCATGCTTAAAACTGTTCTGCGCACTGAGCCACTGCACCATGAGTGGGTGTGATGCTTCAAAACGGAGCTAGTGCTCTGACTCAACACACTAATGTAAATGCAGCCAGCACTAGTTATCTAGCTGCATAGAGGGTCTTGCAGGAGAGCGTTTGGGCACTAGCAAGACAGTGATAGTGGTGACAGCGGTGAGGATAACAGCTTAAGCAGATTCAGCGTTTCGCTGGAGACCTTTTTATTCAGGACTAGTAAATTCTGCTAAAAAGATGATAACTTTGAAAATACATGATCAATGAGATGTTCTTGTG